TATAGATAGCTTGAACAGAGATCTTACTTTGAGATCCCTTACAAAGATCTTCTGTCGAGATCCCTTTATAGACACATTGTACGGATAGCTGTACGCAGGGATCTTGCACAGCAGCTTCTACAGAGATCTTCACAAAGGGAACTTGCAGAATCTTACCTGGTATCTCTTCTTCCAGAGACCACCTTGAATGAACACCATGCTTTCACTACTAGGGTCGTCTAGGTCCTTCCCGCCTTTCCCTTTACAATGCTAACCACACTGTTTGGGGTCTCTTGCTGGGATAATCTTGTTTCTCCCCAGCTGCCAGGTCAGGGTCCTAGATTTTAACAAAGGTGCAACTCCTCCCCTTTCTCCTTTATCCTTTGCCTCTCCTCCTCGTCCTCCTCCTCTCCTCCTCATGGCCTACTCCTAAAGACCAAGCTCACAGCAAGTGCCGACAGTCTGGGCACAGACGGAACGGACCCGAACCCTACGGCGAGGGTCAGAGCTGTGTGGGCACACACGGACCTGAATCCCGTGACGAGCTCCAGATCAGTCTGGGCACACGCGGACCCGGATACGTGCCAGAAAGAATGCCTCAGAAAACGTGTCAGAATATATGTCAGAGAGCAGCCAGAAAGAATGCCGGAATAGATCCCAAATAGAATGTCAAAATATATGCCGGAGAGGAGCCAGAAAGAATGCCAGAATAGACCAGGATAGATGCCAAATGGAATGTCAGAAGGAATGCCAGATAGAATGTGAGAATATAAACCACATAATATATATATATATGCATGTATATACTTATATGTACATATGTATGTATGTATGCATGCATGCATGCATGCATGTATGTATGTATGTATGTATATTTGTATATATCAGATAGAATGCCAGATGGAACGCTAGAAAGAATGCGAGGCAGAATGTCAGAAAATCTGTCAGATAGTAGGTCATATAGAAAGCCAGATCGAATGCCAGAAAGAATGTCAGATAGAACGTCAGTTAGGATTTAAACGAAATGTCAGATGGAATGTCTGATAGAATGCCAGATGGAATGTCAGAAGATCATGTCAGATAGAGTGCCAAAATGGATGCCAGGTAGAATGTCAGAATATATGTCAGGTAGAATGTCACATACGATAACACAATAGACCTAACACATTTGCACCAGCTGTTCAATGGGAGATTACGACAGGTTAATATTGCAAATTTTGGAAAGGGACTACATGGATTACACATGTTGATGCACGCCTTTGGATCAAGACCGGGACGAGTGAACCAACACAAACATACGCAAATGATCACACACGCGCATGGATTAGAACTGGCTGGTTGGCCTGATGGTTTACTACAAACAAAAATGAATCAACATTTGCGATCCTCTGGGCCAAACAAATGAAAGATCTCCAAATGCAGATTGAAACAAAAAAGAAAAGGATTGGGTCCAGATTTCAGACCTTCAATTTTCCCCTAGTTGGTGCCATCCCACGCAAGAACGCCGGCCAAGCATTCGACTCTTGACTGACCATTTGATTACCGAGCTGCAGAAAAGTCCTTTCGCTTTGGACAGCCACCTTTTAACATGGCTTGCAGCAAGACCTCGAGGCATGCGAGGGATGAACTTGGTGTGGGTGTGACGTATCTTTCCGAATATACCATGTTCCGTCCAGTAACACAACAACAAATGAATCTCAAGAAACATCTGGACGAGACGGAACACATGTTCAAAACTCAAAACTCAGAACCATCCTATATATGTATTGAATAATTTTCAGAACTCATAACCTTCCTGTAGGAAAATGTAGTATGTTGTGTTCCAAGATTGGATATCTGTCAAAATTACTACAGCATGGTTTTGAAAAGAGTGCAATCTCACGGTCGAAGGGCCAAAGGGCTCTTCAAACCTTGCAAACCCTTTGTCAATAAAGTGGCACATTCATTGAACCATGTGTTTTACATTTGAAAGTGTAGATTCTTGTTTGCAAAGTGCGCAGCATTCCTGTAAGAAAGTGTGGCACGAGCCTACTGTAGATTCCTTTGGTGATGCCAACGTCTTCTTTTAAAAAATATGTTTTTGTCTTAAAGCAAGTGCAGCACCAACTTTTGCAATATGTTTTTTTTTAATATATGTCCTTTCAAAGAGTACAGCTATTCTATGAAAATTATGTATTGTTTTGAATAGGGTGCCATGTGACTTTCAAAAGGTCTTCAAAATGTGCAACATCTCGGTAAACAAAGTATATAGAGTATTGATTGAAACAATGCAAAACAAACTTTTTTCTGTAAGCAAGTGTAACATGCCTATGCAAAATGTAACATAGTTATCTACAGTATCTCTTTCAAACTAGTGCAGCATTTGCTTGAAAAGGTTACCATATTGCTGCAAACTGTGCAACATCTGTGTCAATCAAGGAAAGCCTTCCTTTGAAGATGCATATATATATATATATGCAGCTTTAAAACGCGAAGAGTTTCTTGGCAAATCTGTGTAGCATCCTTCCAAGAAAGTGTAGCATGAGTCATGAGTCTGCAGAAGGCTCCATCGATGATGCATAATGCTTGAGAAAATGGTGATATTACTTCAACAAAGTGTATCACCAATTTAAGCAACATCGTTTTTCTAAGAAGTTCATGCAGTATAACCAATGGCGTTTTTTATATTACAAGAAAGTGTTACATTGCCATATCTTTCAGGATTGATCTGGGTTATATAATCTGGATTAATCCAACACCACAAAATCAACAAAACAAAACAAAAAAAAAAGATTTGGCAACTAGTCCAGAGACCAGAGTAGTTGGGCCGAAGGCTGAAAAACCTGAAGAACCATCATTTTCAGATAGATCGGAGGGGGGGAGGTAGACCGAAAACTGAAAAAAACTGAAAAAATGAAAAAAACAAAAACTCATTTTCAAAGAGATAGTGGGGGGGTAGACCGAAAACTGATAAGGTGAAAAAAAAATGAAAAAATGAAAGAAACATAATTTTCAGAGAGATGGAGGCGGGGGGGGTCACAATCTGTCTCAAAACAATTCTTTTTCAGTGTTTCATGTTTTTCAGTTTTTCAGTTTTCGGTCCGATCTTCCAGAAAATTATGTTGTTTTGTGTTAATCCAGTTACCCAATGAAGTCGCTCCGCTATCCACTGTTCTGCACGGGCCTGAGAAACAGAATGTGTCAGATAAGGGCATCTGATGCCAGTATATGGAAGCATACTCTTATAGTTTCCTTACATTCTTGAGATGTAAATTGCATTGAACTTACTATGTCCATTCACGTTTCTCTTCCTTCATATTTCACTGTATTTCTACGGTCAAACCCCTCAGTTTGCCCGCGCCGACGCCGACGACATGTCCGAACATCAAAAAACACTGCGTTTTGTGGGACAAAATGCACATGTCCATGATCATGGCTTTCATGTTGCAACGCACAGCTTAGCTACCTGTGCGTTGAATGTTACAACAACAACATCATCAACATCATGAACAACATCATCATCATCATCATCATCAAACCCTTATTGAAGACCTTCAATGAATGTAGAAGTTTAACGGGGGTGGGAAAATTAAACCCTTATTGCAGACCTTCAATGAATGTAGAAGTTTGAAGGGGGTGGGAGAATTAAACCCTTATTGAAGAACTCCAATGAATGTAGAAGTTTAACGGGGGTGGGAAAATTAAACCCTTATTGAAGATCTTCAATGAATGTAGAAGTTTGAAGGGGGTGGGATAATATGAGGGATGCCTTAAGGGGATACCCCCGTCAACATACCTCAGAATAATTATAATATTATTCCGGCACCCGTTGAGTTCAAAAAAATAAATTATTCTAAGAACTCATGAGTTCATATGGAAAAATGAAATAATTTCCATCAAAATGATACCGGTATAGTCTATTTCTAGCCAAACGCAAGTGATCGTAAGCAGCTGCGCGCAAACGGCCGAAAACGGTCTCCCTTCTTGCAGAGCTGGGGCACAAATTTACACAATTTTCAACATACTCAGATAGGATCAAGAAGAGTCAGGATAGTATCTTTAAACAAATTTCCTCTCAGCAACCCACTGGCTGAACATGGTTTTAGTTGGTTTTGGGTGTTTTCCAGTTTCTGGGCTAGTTTGGTGGTTCTGGCCTTAGTGGGAATGAGTGGGAAAAGCAAAATATTTGATTGTCACTGGTTAATTTTTTTGCCAATTTCTGGATTTGTTTTGTGATTGTAGCAGCTGCCCCCTTTTGTTTTTCAGGGGTGCCAGGCATCCCCAATACCTCCAGAATAATTTCTCCCCTGGGGAAAGCCCGGAGAAAAAAAAAACAAATTGGCTCTCTTCTAGAGGTTTTCCCAACTTTGCGTCCGCGCCCCTATTTCTTCCATATTCCCTTCATTTCCTTCCAAAAAACTCCCGTTGGCCATAGTGGGAATGGGTGGGAAGTGTGTGGGGTTTCATTTGTTTTTTGGCAATTCTTGCCAATTTCTGGGCTAATTTGGTGATTAGCTGTCCGCTTTCGTTTTTGAGGGGTACCAGGCATCTCCAATACCCCTAGAATAATTTCCCCCCTGGGGAAAGCCCACACAATGGCACTCAACCTGGCCTTTTCCTAGGTATTTTCCTAACATTCCCCATTCATTGCCACCCAAAGAGCTCTCGAGAGAAAGTACCGTGAGAGAAAGGTGGTCCGGTCGACACTAGTTGTGCGTGCAAGTATGCTGCAAAAAAAGGTTGGCAGCAATTGCCCAAACTGCATGATGCCTTAAATAACTGCAATTGGCATTTCCAGCAAAAAGTTTTCAGGCAAACACCGCCAAGCTAGGAATGGCTTTTGGAAAGGCCAGGCCAAATGTAGGAAGTATAGGCTGCTTCAAGATGTTTTAAGTTACCAAAAATTATTCCAAAACCTAATTATTCCGGGGTATCTTGACGGGCTGGATCATGATTTTCAAATTCCAACATGCATAATCGTATACCTACCCCCCTCAAAAATTATTCCTTGAAAATTATTCCAAAAGAAATTATTCCATAACCTAGTTGATACCCTGGAATAATTTCTTAAGGCATGGGTCATGGGATAATTAAACCCTTATTGAAGGCCTTCAATGAATGTAGAAGTTTAACGGGGGTTGGAGAATTAAACCCTTATTGAAGATCTTCAATTAATGTAGAAGTTTGAAGGGGGTGGGAGAATTAAAAGCCTTATTGAAGATCTTCAATGAATGTAGAAGTTTAACGGGGGTGGGAGAATTAAACCCTTATTGAAGGCCTTCAATGAATGTAGAAGTTTAACGGGGGTTGGAGAATTAAACCCTCATTGAAGATCTTCAATTAATGTAGAAGTTTGAAGGGGGTGGGAGAATTAAAAGCCTTATTGAAGATCTTCAGTGAATGTAGAAGTTTAACGGGGGTGGGAATTTATATTCCTAATACCCTTGTTGATCTCGCAATTGAATGTAAAGTTTAATGGGGGTCGGAATTTATATGCCTTCAAAATCCCTAAGAGGTTGTGTGGGCGAACTCGGGGGTTTGCGCGCATTTCTACAAACGTGGAAAACTGGGGCCCTGGTGGCGGGACTATCTGAAAAAAAATATGGCCTTTTGCCAATGCAACAAAAATAGGTGTGCATCACAATTCGGCATATTTTTTTCAACCACCCTTGGCTGGAATCCCCACATCCCTGAAGTGAATATACGGAGCCAAGCAAATGCGGGAATTCATGTTCCAAAATCTGGACCCTGGGAATTTGACAATCCAAACTTGGGGGGACTTCGATTCAACAAACAACAACGGGCCGCGCAAAAGTTGTGCAGTTTGACTGGCCAAGAAAACAATTCCAACTAATTAACGACATGGGGTGTATATGCTGAATGATGTGAGGAAAACATATTCCGGAGCAATAAACGGGTGGATATGATATCATCAGCAAGAAATGTTGCAAGTACAGATGAACCCGACTGCAAGCTGAATACCACCAACATTGCCAGCCATAGGAGCATCACTGTTTTCCCTTTTGTAGCAGCCTCCAACAACAAGTTTCACTATATATCCACTCCGACCAACCTTGGAACAAAAATCGAAGTCCAATCTGCCCGAAACATGGCAAATCTGAGATACTTTGCATGTCTTGCCATATTCATGCGTATAATATATATATATATATGCACATAGAGAGACAGAGATTATTCAACTATTTGACCAAGGCTTACCCAGAAAACACTGCCAAGTTGCTGCGTTGTACAAGGGCAAGAAGATGTAGTCATTGATGTCCCAAGGAATCGTTGATATGTGAACTGAGTGGGGGCGAACATGTGAAGGACAATGTGGAAGAAAATGGACATGGTCAAAACCATATACGTCAAAACCATATACAGTACGATGCCCACCCCAAAATAAATGTTTCAGCGCTAAAAATGTGGTCCATGACCCATCTTGACCCATAGCCAAACCACGAAACAAACACATGGATCATCATCCAAAAGAACATTTCCATAGAGGTTGGATGGAGAAGGCTTGCAGCTTACACAAAACATGCACACTTGTATCTACGTCTGCCTGCCTACATGGTTGTATGGTTGCATGTCTGTATCGCTGCATGCCTGCACTTTATCTATCTACCGATCTACCTATCTATATATTTGTAATGTCTATCTGCCATTATCTACCTAAATCCATCCATCTATCCCCCGATCTATCTGCAATATATGCACAAATGCTTGGGATCACTTGTACCTTGAAGCAGCAGTAGGGTGAACACGAATACCACCTCGTGGCCCATTGTGATGACACGGGCCAACTCTGATGCCCATACCTACCCATTGCGAAGTGCCCACCACCTTTTCAATATAAGGCATATATGGTTTGTGCTTAAACTCCAAGTTTTTTGGATAGGAACCTGTTTTACTTCAAATCCTTGATGGTTTGTGGTTTTAGAACGTAGAATCCAGTTTAAACTCCCCACTGTTTGAGCCAGCCATTCACGAATTCTAGACGCCCTCCCATCAACATGTTCAGCTGATTGGCAGTTATAGAGGCAACATAGATGCCGGAAACTCCACCATTTGACCATGTCCGGTCTGGGGAAACCATGGTTTTTCCACATGGAAGTTTCCTCAGTCATGGGGTCCCCCTACAAATCATCCGTTTATAGAGGGGATTTTACGTGACATGAAATGAAATAAACCATTCAGCTCTTGGGGTACCCCCATGACTATAAAACCGATTGAAACCGCCTAGGTCTATGTCCGAGGCGCTGTTAAAGCCCAAGACGTGCTTTTTGAAGGTCACTTGAAACCTGCTGGTCACAAAGGATGTTGGAAGTGATGAAACCGTATGAAACACACTAATAATGAGCAAAAACACACATGATGATGATAATAACTGCCATGCTGATGATGATGATGATGGTGATGGTGATGGTGATGGTGATGATGATGATGATGATGATGATGACGAAAACGACGACGATGACGATGACAATGATGTTGTTTATGATGATGATGATGATGATGATGACGATGACGATGGTAATGACGATGGCAATGAGGACGATGATGATGATGATGATGACGATGATGATGAGTGTGATGATGATGATGATGACGACGGTGACGAAGACTATGGTGCCGATGGGGATGACAATGGCGATGGCGACGGCGATGATGATGATGAAGAAGAGGAAGATGGCGATGATGTGTGGATGAGGATCACAATGACGCTGATGATGACGATGATGATGATGGTGATGATGATGAAGACGTTGATGTTGATGTTGTTCATGATAATGGTGATGAGGAAAATGACGACGATGACGATGACGATTGTGTTGTTGATGATGATGATGCTTATGATGCTGATGATGAATACGATGACGATGACAATGACCATGGTGATGACGATGACGTTGATGATTATGATGATGATGACGATGATGTGTGGATGATGATCACGAGGATGCTGATGATGCTGATGATGATGATGATGATGGTGATGATGATGATGATAATGGTGATGATGATGATGATGATGATGATGATGTGTGGATGATGATCACGAGGATGCTGATGATGCTGATGATGATGATGGTGATGATGATGATGCTGATGATGATGATGATGGTGATGATGATGATGATGATGACGATGTTTTAGGTGATGATGAAAATGATACTTTGCAAGTCTTGTGGCCTCCTTCTATGTCGGTGAACTGCTTTGTCCGGAGCTCATCTCTGCTAGGCTTGATCATGACCCGGTTGTCAGTGAGCTGTTCATGGAGTTGGACCTTGATCCTGCTGATCTACCTGAATTTTTCGGAGTCCATGAACTTTTTGTGGTTCTTTCAGGAGTATACTTTGTATCCACGGGGTTGTCTGGTCTGATTGTGGCTTCTTTGAATACTGCAGGTCAGCAAGCCTTCGGTAGCATCTTGCTACCGTAAAATGGACCAAAATGAAGGTGATGAAGGTGATGAAGATGATGAAGGTGACGAACATGCCGAAAGTAATGAGACTGATGGTCAATATATGTCAAGATTATATATATATATATAAATGAAATGAAATGTACCATTATGTACTATTGAATCTTACAGCTGAGTAACTCATAGCTGTATATGTCAAACGACATCACGTCCAGGATGCTCCACTCCGTCTTCTTCCTGGGACGCCCCGGTGTGGATGGAGCCCAACCCGGGCCAGGCCAAGGAAGGGGGGAAGGGGTCAAGCTGCAAACGGGAACTGCATCAAATGAACAAATACACACTGAACACTGACATGGAACTATCAAGATAAATGATGATAAATGATGTCAAATGATGACAAATGATGATAAATGATGAATGATATATGTAAAGGATCATCTTCAGGGTGTTTTTTGTTCAAGACCAAACATCCATCACACCTAGTGTCATTTTCAGCAGGAACATCACTCTCAAAACCCATATGGTTCTTGTATTATTCATGGCGCTTGTCACTTGGTGTAGCTTCAAAATGCATGGGCCACTGTGGGCCAGCCGTGGTTGTATCCCCATATTACCCCTAGCTCCCAACAAGAAATCTCACAATATCCCGCATTGATATATCTAGCATAACAAGTAGATCGATGCACGTGCTTTCCATTGCTTTCCCATATGTCATCCCAAATCGACACTTCTAAATATGTACGGTGCCTTGATGAACATCTACATGAGACGTTTTTGTGGCCACTGGGCTGCCGGTCATCCGCTCCAAGCGACGACAATTTGAACCTCGCTTGCGCTCCGAGCCAGTTAGGATCTCGGACGGCATCGGCCACTCGAAGGCTCAGAGTCTGAGAAATGTTCCCAACCACCTGGAGGGCCCGACTCCGGTTCCAATCCCTGTAATGAGGGTAAAGTTTGATGGTTTACAGCACCTATTTATTGTGATTCGAGGGATGGTTTATTATTGTTTTAACCACATTACACTAGTCATCTAGTCAAAAATGGTCATGGGAAAATCACCTACCGATGTAAACATTATATAAGCTATAAACCACAAGGCGATTCTGTTTCCAGATTGCAGCTTCCCAAGCGGAAGCCAAAAGTTGGAGTCGTGGTTGGATTTTTCGTGTTCTGAATCAGCTATTAGTGATTTTTATATTCAAGAAGTTGCCTCCTGAAGTATCCAGAAACTTCCGCAACACAGTCTCCTTCATCTACATTTTATTGTTTGTGAGTGCCCAAAACCAAGCCCAAAGCATCCATGAATGATATGGTACATGTATCCACATTATCCCATTAACCACCCCGGCCCCAAAAAAACACGTGTACATCAATGTACATCAGCGTAGCGTTGAAGCCTCGAGGTTGCCAGTTCCCGCCTCATGAAACAAGTCCTTGTTGCCGGCAAACATGCCACAATTTAACAGCAGCCCTCAGCAGTGGAGCTGTTGCAATGTCTGGTGACTTGGACATCCAAAACAGCAGAAACCATCGGCTGAGCTTGGCTGAGCCCACTTTCCAATTGCATTCGCCGTCAACTTCCGTTTAGCGTGAGGGCAGAACAGCACTTGTTGAATCCTCGAACAAATATTAAATAAATAGGACGAATTGCCGAACTGCACATTATACTACATTGACGGCGAGAACAAACCACAGAATGCCGCCTGATCAGGGTCAAAGTTGGAGGGTTCAATTGATGACTTTCCCATAGCCTGGGAAAATTCGCACAAGTCACTTGGACTAAGCCCATGTTGGAGTCATGCCCGCTGTGAGACATCATTTACTGTGACGTCAGCGGGTAATTAAAGTAGTCATAGGTAATTAAGATTCGGCCGAACTACCCAAATACACTTCAATAGCCAGCTTATCGTAAAATAATCATCAAGCCTCGTCAATCGCATGGTCTACCGGGTAGTATCTCCCACACCCCGACCTGGCCCCACCACCCAGTTCACCCTCCAGTCAACCGATACAATCCGACAGCTCACAAATAAAACAAATCGACAAACAGGCAGACCCCACAATACGACCCACCACCGTCACCACCCACAAATCATTTCTCAGGGAAACTCCCTGCGATTTCCATCCCCAGGTCCCGAACACCGAAAAACCTCGGAGGCCCCAATGAAAATGACTCTTTTGACCACCACAGTTGCCACCCAGCTATATCCCAATACAATAGAATCATTGGGGCTAGCATTTCCCAAACATACCCCAACTCGTATACTTTATGTAGTTCATCGCTATTGCCGTCAGTATGTTTCTTGAATAGTATTGGTGACCCTATCAAATTATGCCCCAATGTTGTCTTAATCCCCAATAATTCTAAGAATCAAAAAAAGAATCATCATATTTAGCACTTTATGTATGGCCATTCACATCCAATATTTGGCAGGATCTCAGGATAAATGGGAAGGACGGTATATGCCCTCCAGCGACTTCACTGAGTGACTCTTCCCGCCACATTTTTTGTTTAAATGGGTTCATGACACCATCAAAAATCCCGGCCAAGGAATACCATCCCCATCAAAAACTATCAGAATATGTTTATAGATCTTTATAGATGATAGAATATAGATGATGTTTGGATCATTTTCGTGTTGATCCGTAAAAAACAGGCCAAGTTGCTTCCCTTGCCTTCTCGCAGTGAGAAGAGGCCTCGTTTCACGAGGCCCTCCGGGCTGCAGCTGCGCTGAAGCCTCAAACAGTCGCCCAGTCACCCCTGGTGACTTCACCATTTGATCGTCTATAAATGGACCATGTTCATCCATTTTATGCGAAGTGTTTGCGGCTAGGGAAATTCATCGTAAATCCCAACGCATGGGTTGTTTCATAGTAACAATTTCATCGAATATGTTTAGCAAGTGTATTGGCATATTGCTAACGTAAGTGCGTTTTTTTCCGGTCAATGCGGATATATTGATATGGCAACCTTATCATACATAAACAATGTAAACTATCATAAACTATCCATCTACCATTTGGTAGGTACAGTAGTGATGGTACGTATTCCCCATTGTTCGAACTGGGTTGTTTCAACTGGTCCTTACCCACATATCACAAGGTCACGGCCCCTCTCCCACTTGTCTTTGCTGGTAACTAGTTACACCTCATCAACTATAGGTCAATATATTTAGCATAGGCATACACATTAAACCAGTCGAGCTATGCTGAGCTATATATATATATATCATTTATATATTGTTTGGGAGGACCACCTTGTAGGTATGTAAAAACCATTGCTTTCCCTGATAAAGTGACCTACACGTGTGCTGGGCTTTCCATTTCTATACTAGTTTAATCCCTTCATCCTAATACTAAACACCGCACCCCCAAATAATAAACACGTGCAAATACGTGCAGTAGTTTTTGTATTAGGGGGTATTTAGTATTAGGGTGCGAAGCATTCCCCTACCATTAAATTCAAAGGCTTAGTACAAAAAACACTAAAACATATTTCAAAATCGATTAAGTTTCCTTTAAAAACATCATTACAATATTGCCAAAACATGTTTTCGAAGCTTACCCCTAATACCAAATTAAAACACTTCACTTGATATATTAAACAAAAACTTTGAAACAAACTTCAAAATCGATTATATATATATATGTTATATATATTATATATATATATATAAATTTCCTTTTTTAACTTTATTACACTATTGCCAACAAGTTGCTTTCGAAGCTTTCCCCTAATATGAAATTAAAAACCTTAATGTTGAAAAACAAACAATCTTAAACGACGGACCCTAATAAAAAACACCCGGGGTTAGTTTTTATTATTAGGGGGTGAAACCCACAAATGGGCCCTCCATGTTTAAATTGTTTTTGTTTAAAGGGAATCCATGAAACATGAAATTTGTCAGTCCGAAATTTCCGTAAATTTAACGCGGATCCTAGTTTTTAGTATTTGGGGTGGGTTTAGTAAAAGGACGAAGGAACATTTACAGACACTTGGAAATCAACATCTCAAAACCATCAAAGATGGTGGTTTAGTTCCCCTTCCAACCACCTGAAACTGGGTGCTTGATCAACAAACACTGACGATTTCACCCCCGGAACGGGCTTCAGGAATCACGCATCATGAAGCTTTCTATGACGATCGGGTGGCTCAAAACAGATTGTCATTGCAAAGCGGCCATAATAGGTTGAAATCAAATCATGAAACATTGACCGTGTAATTGTCACACAGTGAGGTTCTCACATTGGAATTGTTTGTCGGAAAATAAAGCCAACATCAAAAATAATCAATCAAAACGGGGCGCGCCCTCAAATAATTATGTGTTATTACAGTCACGGACTATCACTGAGAGCGTATTTATTTAAAAATGCCAAATCGCACACTTAGAATGTCCCCAAGCAAGCGGCTTGGTATCACCTTCCAAGTGCTGCACTTCAAACCTCAAACTTCTTGGTACGTGATAGGTTTTGTAGAACATAATGCCAAGCCGGCTGGGGACATGCTAAGCGCGCGATTATTGAAATTTCGACGTTCTAAGTGACAGTCCGTTGCAACTATTTCCACCCCAGCAATTACTTTCGTGGTAATTGATGTTCGGGACCCCGTGGGTTTATTGAATGAATTTCAAGGCCGCCCGCTGCGTGCTATCTGTATTTTTTTCTGGCACCACCACCCATGACGGTGCAATTCCTTCAATCAATGGCCATTTCAGGGACCTAAATAGGAGGTACCTAATTACCATATATATATATATGCAAAGCCAATGTAAGGACATATCCCCACAAAATATGGCCTTATCACCTCCAGTTTAGATACCTGAAATGACCATTCATGCAATGATGAATTTGTTAGACTTGTGCCAGTTTTCACACACGGCCTACCACCCAAAGGAAGTCTTTGCATAAGATCTCAAAATACAAACAAGGGCATCCTGCCACAGCATGTTTAAAGGCGATATTGGGAACGCTCTAAGTGTCGGCTTCGCAACCTATCTACACGGGTGCTAGACGGAATCAACCCAGGGGGAAATCTATGAATAAAACATCTAAATTTGGAATCTAAGTATGACATGGGAGCATGCCATGGCATGCCTCTAGATTTTTCATGGTCTATCAAAGAGATATGTAGGGACATTCTAAGTGTAGGCTTCCCAGCCGATCTACAGAGGTCCTAGACACTATTATGTTTAAGGCCTAGCACCCAGAGGGAGTCCATGCATAAGACCCCAAAATGAGAAATGGGAGCACGCCACAGCATGCCGTCATCGCGTCTATAGGACCCTTGTAGATAGGATAAGAAGCCTACATTTAGAGCACCCCACATACTTCTATCAACAATCTACAGGCATGCTGTGCCATGAGTGCTCTCATTTCGTATGTTAAGCTCTTGTGCAAAGACTCCATCTGAGTGGTAAGCCTTTTACATAGCGACATAGCGTCTATGACCCTTGCAGGTCTATGGATAAGACCCCAAAATATGAAATGGGAGCATGCCATAGCACGCCTCTAGATTTTTTCATAGTTTTTCAACCAAATACGTGAGGCATTCTAAGTGCAGGCTTCGCAGCCTACCTACAGGGGTCCTGCAGGCAACAATACATATACTGTATATATATATAATATATATAATATATATATAAGGTTTATCACTCAGAGTGAGTCTATGCATAAAATCTCAAATAAGAATTGCCAATTATTGCTGGGCGTTCTAAGTGTGCACTTAGAACGTGGGAAAAAAAAACGTTCTAACTGACTCACTTGTAACGTCTCTAACTGCAAATGTATTTCTTTTCAAATCTAAGCGGTTGTCTGTCGCTATAACCATCAAACGCTGGGTGTCAAATAAGTCAAATTACAAAAGACTTGCAGTGCATTCATCAGGCACATTGGGGATACATGATATAATCATCAAAAAGCGGGACTCTCGGCGTTTCTGGTGGTTTCAAAGTCAAAGTCTCGAATGAGATGTGTCCAGGGTCCCAGAATCGAGATTTTCCACAGCCCCAAAGATGGTTTGATGAATTGAAAGCCCTTTCACAGACCTGGCACTACTTGGAATATCCTGATAACACGTTGCAACTCCTATGCCCTGCACTTTTCTTGTATTATGATTCTTTTATCATACCGGAACCATCGGATCAAACATGGATATCCTGGATGTTTAAGAAGCCTAATTCTCCAGTGACAGGATAAATACCCAGGTATGCAGGGCACCTGGGACTTTGATAGTGAAGCGCATCCATGACCTCAGTTAGTTTCCCAGAACAGTCCCATCCAGCACACCACCATTTTTGCCAGTTCACAAGTAGCTTGACCACGAGTGCTATTGAAAATCACATTTTTTACAGTAATTGGTAAATCAACTATAAATGACCATGTTCAATAGCTATGTTAAATTACCAGAAGGTAGAATAGTTAGAATGCATCTGGATAAACGCATTAACTATGAAGATTCACCAAACTGAAAGGTGACTATTGGGGGATTGTTACCCCTTCCTCCCCATCATTCCAGTGACGTCACTGTGCGGTCGCTGTAATACATCCATATATATATATATATGTATATGTATATGTTATAAATATATATATATATACATATACATAATATATATATATATGATATGTATATATATATAGATAGATATGTATGTAATGATATAATATGCATATGTATATATTTATATATAATTATATGTGTATACATATGTACCATATGTATATATATATATATGTATATATATATATATATGTATATATATATATGTATATATATATGTATATATATATGTATATATATATGTATATATATATGTATATATATATATATATGTATATATATATATGTGTGTGTGTACTCCCAATGAATTGTGTCCCCCAAAATTGGGAACCCAGTTCCATCCCACAATTTGGACAACCTCCCCATGTTTCACTGTAAAATCAGGGTAAATCCCATGGTTTAGGACATATACAAACACATCAAAAAAAAACAAACAGCCAGTGCGAGCTTCGCTTCAAATGGCCAATCCAACTTGTCTTCCAATCAATCCCATGGCAGGGTTGTCATGATAGTTGGCAGCCGCTGGCAGGGTAACAGGGCACCATGGTGCACGATTTACCATGGGGATGCAGCCCCAGTTATCCTGGAAAAAGCTTTGCCCACCTGTAAACAAATTGTAGCTATGGAACATGATCCATTTACACGGTTTGTGGAATGAACCACCAAGTATGGAAAACCCACCATTGTTTATAATGGTATAACATCCAATAATGGGAGATGTTTCATGCAATGTGGAGCCTCTTAGATAGCTAATTATATAACTCCAATCAATATGAATGGTTTCAGATGAATTATACCTATAAAAAACAAATCATATAGTATAATAGTAAATAGTAACTCTATGCATGAGCTTTCAAAACCAACTTAGCTATCCTTTAAAGGGGCCCATGTTTATCATGTTTCACATGTTTCGTGCCAAGCCATATCCGCTGTGGCGTCTACGCCAGATGACGCGCAGTGGAATCTTCGCCTGCAGCATCCGCACCTCAAAGCTGTGGAGCAAGTCCTTGGTCCGGAAAAGTGGAGGTTTCACCCACCGAAATCGCTATTTGAAACTGGGAAACGTGCGTTGTTTCATACTTATCTTGATGGTTTTTGGCCAGATGCGGCAGGTCATGGCAGGTCTGTTTGCATAGAATTCAGTTTCACGCCGAGCGCAGTCTAACTTGGTGGTTCATCACACCTAAGATTATTAGGTTGTAACTCTGGTTATAAGATGTTATAAGTGGGATAAGTAGAGTTAATCTACTTATAGCTAGGGTTTAACCCACATACGAGTACTAACTGGGATGAACCAACAAGTATAGCCTTGAAATTAGACGAACGGTTAGGTTTTATTTAGTTTTAAGAAATCGTACATGTGTATTGAGTTTGATCAGCACAAATTGAGATTGGCTTTGACTAGTAATAAACATGAGCGATTGACTGACAAACATTGGATATTTTCATCTGGCCGCTTATCATTGAATGAATAATTATATCCAACACTAAACCGAGGGGTGGGGATTGGATTGTTAGGGACCCCCCCCAAAAAAAACATGCACTGGAAAATTAATCATTTCTCCATCGACAAATTACATGACATGTTCCATCATTTGCCCATGTGAAGATGGGGAACCATCCTTTATATCCTTTCAATCCCAACCCTTGGAACAACAACGTGGACGAAAAAAAAAAAACACACACACACACATTCGTGGATAACAAACGGGTCCCAAAATCAGGATCCATGGTCAATCTCAAAGCAAGAGTTCAATACGTTCCACTTAATGATCGACAAATCCTGTAGAATTAGTAAAAGGATGTAAAAGGTGGCTGCGTGCTTAACCAAATCCAGGCGATAACTTCAAGGATCCTCCTTGCGCTGATCTCAGGGAGGATCCGATGATCCATGATGATCCAGACCCTTGCGCCTTGCAGCCAGGAATCTGCATATAAATGATCCCGGTCGCAGTTTCTCCGCACGTGTAAGAGCTCCTGAGTACCGTCGCTGCTCGATTGATCTAGAATCTAGAATCTATGATTATTACAATGATAATGCATAAGATCTATGAATCTATAATCACTACACTAATATTTAAAACATGATTTATGGTTGTTATAATATGTATAGATATGTATAGTATCCTAGGGTTTATAAACCAACTTATAGGGAGCCCCACATTGTATGGCTGCCATGGCACCAGCTCCGAGTGGGTGGCCAGCTCGTATTCCGCGGCATCGCCCAGCAAGACCAGCACATGATCCTCTGGGGCCTTGGTATTGGTTACTGGTCCCGTTTCAATGGAAAAACCATAGGAAAACAATAGGAAAATATGAAGAACATATGGGAAATATATGGGAACTCCCTTATAAATGGAGGTTTAGAGCTGGGAGAATCAACAATGGTGGCATTTTCCAGCCATGTTTGATTGCCGGAGAGTAAACATTGTAAAGGCTTGCTGAACCCAAACCCGATTGGGGCTTCTGATTGAGTTTGCCACACAAGTTTGGGGATTGGGGATGGAAAGGGGAACCAGGATCGATACCCAAAGAATACGCCCAGAAATGATCATAGAATCATAAATTAATAAATGATGTTTGCCCCAAAAAACAGGGTTAAACTCAAAACTGGAAAAATCATGGCCAGATTTTACACCCTCCAAATGTAGATTTCTTGGAGGATACTAGTGACTGGTAGTGGAGCTGCCTGAGCCGGAGTTATGATCGGTTTCAATTCGCTAAAAATAGATTGGCATCATGGCATCATGATCTAATTGTTCGGACGGACCATATACAGTCGCCTATAGTTGAACAGTGAAACATATAGTTAAACCATGTTCAACCAACTACGAGTAGGTGCAAATTACATCCAACAGCTGTTGATCAAGTCGAGACACAGGATCTTTCAGCGAGTGATAGATCTGCTGGCTGGTTTCAATCCTGACCAGCACCGGGGCGAGCAACCCAAACTGACGTATTGAAGGCGAGTCTATCCCGGTGATATCTTTTCTGGTTGGAATATGTACGAACTTAAATAATGGAATGAATATGAATGAATCATGTGTACCCATGGTCTACCAACAGGGTATAAACAGGTTACTTGCACGAATGCGCAAGTAGATTCCAAAGTGGCTTACAACCGGAATTACAGTATCTGTGAACTAACCCTACCTTTGCTACTTAGCTCAATTATAATATAACCAAGTTATAAGTTATAACATGTTATAGAACCACTAAGTACTGCCTCAACCTGAGCAATGATCCAAGTATCAGGAAGTGATCACCTAAATCAACATCAGAGACCACGACATATTTTATCACCATCTCGCATAGATATGGAAAATCAATTCTTTTCCTAGCTGGAAAACTGTCTACAAAAGCTTGATTTTCCATAGCTATGTTATATAGTTTACCGGAGGGAATTCCAAAACATTTCCCACTTTGTCACATCACTGGGAATACTGACAGCATGCCGACAGCATTTGGTTCTCCCACTTTCCAAAAAAGAGGCTACGCCTACCACCATTGAACTCCTATATTGTTGTGTTCATCTATGTGCCAGCAAATACTATATATATAATATAATGTAATAAATAAATATAATATATATATATATACAATATAAATATATATATATATATAATGTCGGGGTTCCTTTCGGCACTTTACAGAAAAACTTTGCAGGAACCCCAAGGCTTCAAAACGAGGCGCATGGTTTGGGTGAAGATATATGTGGACTCGAGCACAGGACGTTGTCCCTTCATCTCTGCTACTAAGATCTCACGCGCGCGGTGCACCTGGAGATCAAAAACACGTTGGCTGCCTGAGTTTTGTTTTTTTGGGGGGTGGTCAACCATCAAAAAATTGGTGGATTTTTCGCTGTCAAAATTATGAGGTTTAACAATGGTTTAACATGGTTTAGCCATGTTTAACCATAAAACTGGAAGAAAGATCCTGAAACGTAACTATCAAAATTGGGGGTTAACAATAAAACGATGTTTTTTTTTTGCGGACACTACCTTGACCCTTTTTCGGCCAAGTCGGCCTGCTGATCCAAGCGATGGGTATGCAGAATCAAGCACACTTCCATTGTCACAAAATGATACCAAATGGGGTTCCACATGAAAAATGGTCACTTTTGAATTGAAGATTGTAAGATCTTTACCATCTTCAACATATCCAAGATTGCCGTTAAGCATTTGATTTTTTTTCAGCCACAGCCGTCTCAGCCCCATCCCCCCAAGCGTTCTTTCAGTGCCCTCAGGAGCTCCCCCACCGTAGTGGTTGGATCGGCCGTCGAGTCCGAAAAGGCGAGCAACAGCCCGACCCTAACGGATGTCAGTTGGTCCAAAAAAGGGGAGATCTCCAAGACTCCAAGGGTCCAAGGGCCAGTCTGATAGGGAAAGTCATGATTCATCAACATTAAAAAACCATTTATTTTGTTTGACTCCTTTAATTCTGACACACTCATGCGATAAGAAATGAAAATCTCTCTCCATCTGCTTCCCCATCGGGCTGAGACAATAAGAGTTATGTAGTGAGAATACCAAATAGATCCGCCGAATGGCTGGTGAAAAACAAAACATGCCTTCGGCAAATTCATGTGAGCCTCTCAGAAACAAATATCACCATATTGCCCGAAAACTAATCAATATATCGGTGAAACCCTGACGTTGCTCCGCGGCGGAATTGCGGAAGGGTTGCGTATTTTTGAAATGCCATGCCGGTGGACTTTCAATGTGTATATAGATGTATATGCTATCCGTGATCAAAATCATCATCATCATCATCAGATTCAGCATATTTGTCGGAGGGGGTGCTTGATTGTTGATTCCCTATGAAAGTAAGTTGATGTAATTCCTTATTCAAGATATTTGTCAGAGGCTGGCGGATGTGGATCTCTTATAAAGATAAGTGGGTGTGACTACCGCATTTAACATATTTGTTTTAGGGGGGTGGTGGATGTTTGATCCCTGAAAAAAATGAGTTGATGTGATTACCCCAGTCAACGTATTTGTCGGAGGGGGTCGTGGATTGTTGATCCCTGAAAAATGATAAGTTGGTGTGATTACACCATTCAACATATTTCGCAGAAGGAGTGGTGGATTTTTGGCCAAATCTGAACATAAGTTGATGTGATTACACCATGCAACATATTTGTCATAGAGGGTGGCGGATTTATGACTGTTTATGAATATAACACATATAAGTTGATGGCATTATATACTCTATTTCACATGAGTTGACACGGTGATGATGATGATGATGATCATCATCATCACCATCATAATCATCATTGTCGTCATCAATCATCAAAATCATTCATCATCATTCATCATTCATCATTCATCATCATCATTCATCATTATCATCATCATCATCATCATCACCATCATCATCATCACGAACATGATGACAAAAAAGATACGATGATCATGATCATGATGATGATGATGATGAAGATGATGATGGTGATGTCATGATGATGATAATTATGTTTGAAAGTGTGGAGCAATGTCCGGGTTGGATGGAACTGTGAAAACTAAAACAGGTCAGAATGCCATGTTCCAAATGCGCAATTCAAAAGATGTGCACACCAGAATGATTTTTCTTGGAACCTGTGATTGTTTTCGGTATTGTCTGCGCTGGAAATGTTGAAGCTTGCAAAGCTTGGACTGAACATTGCAAGCTGCACAGTCCAAAAAGACATTAACAACTGTCAGTAACTATCATTACTACTATAATGACAAAACAACTATCAGTATAATACTGTAACTTTCATGACTATATCATGGGCTTGGGAAACTCCATTCGACAAAAATCCTGTCCCTTCAATTCACCACTGGGCAGAGTTGCACTGCAGCAATGCCCAAACCCAGGACGAGGGCCAGCAGGGAGAGAACATATCCTGGCAGAGGCGGGATCTCATGCCTGGCTTGGCCAGCAACGCCCCGAAAACCGCAAAGCAAGATCACAGTAATCATGCTGAAACTTAGACTCATTAATTACTGCGGATACGTTTCAAACCGAACCAAACAGTCAAAATCGCTCAAAGACACAAAACTCATAAACATAACCAGTCACCCATAACCAGCCATACACCAGCCACAACCAGCCACTCCCAGCCCCGTCCTCGGCTGACCTGTTTCGGCCTCAAAGATCTGGTCTCCGATCCTGGATGGGACACCATGGCTGGGGTTGTCACCCGTTACTGACAAATATAAAATATCTAATAAAAATATAGGTTGATTATGTTATGGATATGTATAGTATATACTAACATGAACCGAAGGGGTATGTGAGTCTTCCGAGCGTTCTAATATTTACTAATGTTATGTTGGAAAAATCATCGCCGGAAACCATGTGTTTTTCCCTTAAATCTCAATGGGCTCCTGTAAACCTTCCCATCATCCTTTAATTTGAAAGTTCCAAGTGAATCATTATAGTGGCAAACCAATCAAGGTTTTTAGTTTCTGTCCCAATATATTGGGCGTAATAGAAGCCCCTATGATCATCAACCAGTAGTTTTTTTTTTACACTGCTCAAGTTTCTGAAGAGATGCAGAAAGGGGGTGCCATGTATACTTAAGGAAACAATCTCTTTTTGGGGGTGCAGGCCTATTGTAGATTAGGCCATCTATTTTGGGTTTAGATCGAAAGGATCCAATATCATATGATATTGTCTCAATGTCAATGCCGTATTGAACCATTGAAGAACTCCTGGTCTTGTTGTTCGATGTACCACGGAAAGTGATGAGGAATTACAATCCCAAAATTGTACCTTTCAAATGCATTTAACCTAACCCTCAAAGGGGTTGGGATCCAGGGTTCACATTGCCCGGTGATCGCTCCATGAAGTGAGTAAATGGCTAATAACTGTGTCCAATGAACTATCGAAGTTGTCTTAGGTTCTACTGGTATACCTTCCCGCAAACCATAATCTACGAGATGTGGTCCGCCGTTAATTCACCCTCGCTTATCACCGCATCCTTTTGAGGGCCGAGGACCTGCATTCCGGGGGGGATGACCCGTAAGTTTTACCGCTACAACCCTCTGAATCACCACCAATGAGTCGCTCACTTACCCTCTGCCAAGTTATAGCTATGAGAAATGGCCCATTTAGTTCAATAATATAGCTATAATATCAAGACTAGCGATTTCCATATGTCATATGTAAGTCTGTTAAATTACCAAAGGGTAAATGAGCATTTTTCAACACATTCAATACTTCAATGGATGAATTCTCTTTGTGCCTCGGTCCACCTCGAAGGGTTGCATGGCACCTGGGCTCAACCCAGGTAGCTCCCATGTGGGCTTGGGAGATCCCCCAGAAACTAAATGGGATATTTATAAAAATTATGTATATGTCAGTAATATGTCATGATATATTTCTAGATTTCTATTCCTCGATATGCTCCATATCGCTCCGTACTGTTTCACTTGTTGTCCATCAGTGTTTTGGGATGTTTTGGGGCTGCGATTGTCCAAAGCGTGCTTGGATGAACCCCAATGCCCATCCAAGAATTTTGGAGTTGTTCAAATATGTTTCAAAAGTCCATCTGACTGATTGCCACGCGCACTGTAAATAGAATGTAGATAGTGGGTAACTGTGTTGAATCTGGGGAGTAGGGTTGGTGGCTTAGTACGTGCGTGTGCGACTGCAGAAAAAAGTGGACATGAGTAGGCTTAAAAACAGCGGCCAAATTGGACGGAGCCAACAATGATGTCCAATGTGGGCACCAATGATTACACATGAGAACATGGCCAACTAGCGGTAGGCGGTAGGGGTTGAATCACTTCTTGGTTCACCAGCCATAAAAAATATGCAGAATTCAACATGTGCAATGGTCATGGTTTCTGGTCACCCCACCAACATTACAGATTTGCTCTCATGGGTATATAACACCTGCCTGACCACCCCCTGACAGGGGTACAGTATCATACAGTATCTAATCCAACTAATTAGTAACTAGATCATGGCACATGCATCATCATCATATATGTCTCATGCGGTGTGTTCAACTGACTCTTGATCAGGTAATCTGAGTGGAATCCCAATTTCTGGTGCCTTGGATTCCAAGAATCGTTGACTACGTTGACTAGGTGTCCAAGAACATGTTTCAGTGAATGCAAGTTTCAACAAGTCACTTCGGATTCAACAAGTCACTTCGGATGCTTAGGGCCGGCTTAGGGAGTAAGAACGCCTTTCAACCGCCAACCAAGAATGGGATTGCAGAAAATAAACCTGGAACCACCTGTCAAGTGGCGTCATGATGCCATGCAGGGCGCCATGGCAGGGTTCGGTCCGCCGGTGCACACAGCAGCTTGTGGCACCATGAACGATAAAAGTTTTGGTCCTGTCTTTGAGGTTTTTACTGCAACATTTGGGTTTTTGAAATTGTTGAAACATGTTGAAACATTTGGAAAATTCTCTTTCTAGCTGAGTCAAGTGTGCAAGACCTTAAGTCATGGGAAGCTGCCAGGAGATGGGATCTTCCAACCCGGTCAACATAGGTCAACTTAGGATCTTCGCTGGGAGGGACTAGACAGCTTATCATAATAAAGCCTGGAGTTCCACGGTGTTCCACGATGATTAGCACAAATCCTGCATTTTGCCACCTCGATTTTTTCTCGACAACGAGTGGCAACGGCCAAGCGAGACTAAATACCCCCTTACCTTTGATCGGGAGATGGGTAATAATTTAGATAGAATACAATACCAGTGACACCCGTCTGCAATTTCCTGAGTTTGCAGGTATGTCTAATTGGACATTGTTTTTGTATGATGATGAGGCTGCTGATGAAAGCCTCTCCGTAGAAACCCAGCTGGGCTGCATTGGAGTACAACGGGCTGGCAGTGAAATCACCATCCTTATGGACCCTGGAGCATCCCTCAGTTTTCTAAGTCGATATGCATTTATGAGAGCGTGTCCCCAGTAGAGATTAGAATGCATGTTCGTGTAGTGAGCGAATATATATATATATATGATTATATATATATGTGTGTGTGTGCATATATATATATATGTATATGTACTGTATGTTCTACATTGTTCTATACACATTGCGCGTTTTCATTGCACTGTATATCGTACACAAGCACAACCTATAGCACCCCCAGAAAAAAAATAAACAAATCCTTAGAGATCTTCTCTTCAAAACGTGAATTGTACTTGCCAGACATGTCTTCTGTTTTTTCGAAACCATGCGGGTTACTCTTAATATCGCCCAGTGACTCCCATCGAGCTGCTGACTTGCACGCAGCAAGCGCGGCGTTGTACCTCGAGAACAGCTGGGTCTAAATGGGGATTGTAACCGGCCAACGTAGGATTTTGCCACCAAACACTCAAACACTGAATGACGGGGGCAAACTCTCAGTCTAAGATAATCCAAGTCTGAAGATGATCTTGTGTGCTTGTTTCTGAATAATCTGAATACTGAATAATCGTGCAGCCTGGTGGGAGCAAAATCCCCAAAGCAATGTCAGGTAAACGCGAAGCCACGATCTGGGTCCAAAAAAAAGAGTGTGGTCAATCCTAGATCTACTGCCATGTTTTCTTTTAGTTGGTTGGTGTTTACATATGCTGCGTGTGTAATAGTAAATATATATATATATTGTATTTTATTTTTACAACTATATACAATATTATACAATTATATACATAAGTACTTAGACCCTCGTAGTACCCTCTAAGTACCTATATTAATAGATACTAGATTTAGGAAGTAAAATAGCACTTCTTTATGGTACTTGGAGGGTCTAGGTATATGTGTATACAATATCTCCATTTTCTGCAAAAACAAGTGCTACCCTGGCACTACACTAGCCATCCAAGGACCCAGAATTTGTCCAAAAGATGGGAATCCTCTCTCATCAATCCTCAGCTAAGCAGCGTAGCACCATTTCTGTACTTGCATTTCTGTGCACCAGTGTGCGGTGCCGGGGCAATCCGACGGCTGAAAAATGTTGACATCCAACACTCCCCGCTTGTCTCCCTAGATGTTGGTTTGAGCACTTGACAGTAACAATATAATTAGTGCCAATGACACCACTGAATGGCAAGCCGTTGCTACCCTGAAGAATACAAAGCAATATGTCTTGCCCAGATTTTTACCTACCGGTATCTACCTCTATCTAATCTCTATCTACCTCTGTCTATGTCTCTATCTATATATCCCTATCTATCTCTATCCATCTCAAATTATCCGTCAACGACAGCTTTCCGTCAAAGCATGGGGGTGTCTTGGAGGCCGACGGTCTCTCGGACATGTATGGCACTACAGCATGCTGGCGCAAACCCCTGCCACTGCAGGCTTTACAAATGTCAAACAAGTCATTGTGAAAATGAGATGAGATGTTTCGCTACCAGGAACGCATAAGCATATTTGTCATTTGTCCAGTTTCGAATATGAACTTGGAATAGTGACCAAAATGTACACAATATTTGACGAGATTGATTTCATGATAAAAACCCAGGTGTTTGGCAGCCGGCCCACCAACTTTCTGCAACCAGCAGAGCAGCGAAACAAACTTTTAGCGGGTCAGCAGGAAAGCACGAACTCGGTCGCCAACAACAGCATGAAACTAGCTGTGCGAGGACTCATTCACGCAAGAACTCCCTCAATAACAAAAAATCAATCTCCAATGTGGGTGCACAGCTGCAGACCTAGCTACCTCTATGAGAAGTACATAGATAGATTGCACAAATAAATCGTCATGGTCATGTTACATGGTGTTACATGTGTTCAATAGGAATTCCTCCTCCGACTCCGACCATTCCAACCCCCTTTCTTCGGGCATCGGAGTTCTCACAGTCACATCCACCACCGGGCTGACGCAGCCCGCTCAGTACACACGCTTGGCTGGAGGCACGTGGTGCATCTCCTCCACAGGTGGATTCATGATTCAAAGATGTTTAGAGGGCCGAGTGCCTGGGATCGTCTCTGCCGGAACACAGTGATTGGTGTTTACCTTTATATTTATATTATATATATATACAGTATATATATATATATATATATACAGTATATATATATATATACAGTATATATATATATATACAGTATATATATATATATACAGTATATATATATATTAAATAGAAATATGAACAAAATTAGACAGAAATTCGCTGTGGGATGTTCCCCTAATAATCATCTAATCTACGGGGCTGTGTTCAGAGTTACCTTCAAGACATTGCGTTGTTTTTCCCATTTTAGCACCCAGTCCCACAGAACTGGGACTTGAGTGGACAATGCATATACACACTGATACAAGTATACACACAATGAACTATATTTGCACATACAAATGTACCGTGCACACACACACATTTACAAATTACACCATTATAGAATCACGAGTGTGAACCTACATGTGTTATGTATATATATATATATGTATGTATGTATGTATGTATGTATGTATGTGTGTGTTTTGATGTGTTATATCTACAAATGAAAATATATACATATATATATATATGTAAATATCACATGCTATCACTTATTGCAAACATTTGCAAATATAAATGCATGCATACACAGCACGCGCACGCGCAAACACAAAAACGTATATATATATATATACACAATCAATCATATCATATACTACATGAACACTCTCAATGCTGGATGGACAATTCCTGTAGGATGTTCACTGTGGCAATCTGGAACAACCATTCGCCATATAAAAAATCACCCACCTAGACCTAGACATTTGCCGTGAGCCTGTCAAAAAGGCAACCCATGGTTCCAGAATGTACCAGACTGCGCAGTGAGTGATCGCCCCTTAGTATCCTTTAGGCCATTTCCAAAACGAAAGAACGGAGACAGCCCGCCTTGTCGAGGGGCTGATCAATGACCCTCCTGTATTTGAGCACCACCTGACATGATCACGGAAAATTGGCGCAAATCCAAGCTTGTTTTTGTAAATGAGTTTTTATTGTTTACCTTGTGGTAAACTAACATTACTACGGAAAGGTATCTAGCCGAAGGAAGTTTAGAAGTCAAACTTTCGACAATATGGACAGATGAAAAGCAGAGATGGGCAGAGGCAGAGAGAAGAGAAGAGTAGAAGAGAGCACGTCAGAGAAGAGAAAGAGTCAGAAGAAAAAAGATGCAGATGCGCGAAAAGGTAGGAAAGTCGCAAAACACTGTGTTTTCCAAAAATTTGTGGCTCCGGAGGGTCGAAAAGTAGGCTCGCTAAAGCGGCGGGTGCGGAGCCATCTGGCCAGATGAGAGATGAAAAATTGCACGCCGTTGTGGCGCGAAGATTTCGAAGTCAAAATGTACAAAACACACCAGCTCCGGACCACTTTTTGAAGTTGAGATGTCGGAAAAGTGCACGCCGTTGTGGCGCGAAGCACATTTTGAAGTCAAAAGTGCGAAAAACTGCCGGGTACGGAGCACTTTTGGACGTTCAAATGTGCTTTCGCGTGGTAGGCGCAAGTGATTGTGCACCTTGTCAAAAGTGAGCAAAACGTGAGGGTTTTGTAGCATGTCCAAAAGCGATGGCAGGCGTGAGACATTTGAAGACGATCTTCAAAGATATATTTCGCGTCACAGGCGCAGTACGCAAGACATGTTCATCAGAGATGTTAGGAGGTCTGGGCGCTGATTTCCTGAGAGGGGTTGCACTTTGGAGCATCAGATCTTCAGGTTTGCTGAGATGATTTTGCGTGACAGGTGCAGCACTTCGTATGACTTGGCATCACTTTTTCGTGGCATGCGCAGTACTTTCGACAGGTGGACTGGAAAAATTGCAAAACGCATTGGTACGAAGCTGTTAGCTCTGCACTCAACTTTCCATTTTTGAAGGAAGTCTCGCAGAATTGCTTTGTTTTCGATGTTGTCAACTTCAAAACATGAGTAAGTCTCGCAGAAGCGCTGCGTTTTTGATGTTGTCAACTTGGAAAAATCAAGAAGTCTCGTAGAATAGCAAAGTTTTCAAGCTTGCAGATAGACAGGTAGATAGACAGACAGACAGACAGACAGACCGAGAGAGAGAGAGAGAGAGATATATAGATAGATAGATCGATCGATAGATAGATTGATCGATAGATAGATAGATCGATAGATAGATAGACAGATAGATAGAAAGACAGATAGACAGATAAATACATAGATAGATAGATAGATAGATGGATAGATAGATAGATAGATAGATGGATGGATAGATAGATAGATAGATGGATGGATAGATAGATAGATAGATAGATAGATAGATATATAATATATATATATATATATATATATAGATAGATAGATAGATAGATAGATACATAGATAGATAGATAGGTAGATAGATAGATAGATACCTAGATAGATAGATAGATAGATAGATAGATAGACAGATGGATAGATAGAATAGATGGATAGATGGATAGATGGATAGATGGATAGATAGATAGAAACACATGTGGATAGATAGATAGATAGATAGATAGATAGATAGATAGATAGATAGATAGATAGATAGATAGATAGATAGATAGATAGATAGATAGATAGATAGATAGATAGATAGATAGATAGTTAGATAGACAGATGAGAGAGAGAGAGAGAGATAGATAGATAGATAGATCGATCGATAGATAGATAGATAGATAGATCGGTAGGTAGGTAGGTAGATAATCAGAGAAAGAGAGAGAAAGAGAGAGAAAGACAGCAAAAGAGAGAGAAAGAGTGAGAGAGATTAATCACCTTTCAGTCCATCAGTGGATTCGCTCTGTCATCCGTGAGTCACAACAACCAACCTCTCCTATAGGTTTCCTATTTATGAAACTTCCGCCACCGCCTTGTGCGGTACTACTGGTAATTTAACTAGGTAATTTACTAGTTTTATTTTATTAACTTGTGGTAATTAACTAGTTTTATTTTCACTAGGTAGGTTACTTTACCGAATAGAGCTGGCGAACTACTCATGACCACTGGTACCTGTTCAGTTCAACCAACGAGACTGACTTTCAACCTGAGCCCTGACATTGAAGGATTTTCACTGGTAGTTGGACCAAGTTGGACCAACGACCAACCTCGCAGTTTCTCAGGTCTTGAAATGTTTTAAGATTTTAGGGGTTCTGTTAAAACCATGGTTTCCCATAGGTTTTCCCTTCGACCAATCGATTGACAGTAGTAAATCCAGATCGCTGCAGGTTGGAGATTATCAATGAGTTGCTCTTCATATATAACATATATATATATATATAAATATTGTACACCCTCCAGAAAACTAACATAAATATGGAAAATCCATGAAAATCCATAAGCATCCACCATTGATCGTGTTCTACTGAAATTCATGGGATTTCAAGATTTGGAGGGTATGGTTTCTACCGTTTTCTACTCTTCTTTTTGGCACCTTGGCATCCTCCACATATGGCTTGTCCAGCCAGGACAGCGTGTGCTTCATCCAGTTCTCATCGTCACCTGGGTCTGAAAAATGCTGGGGTAGCAACTTCTCAGGTCTGCCAGGGCGGCCCCCTACCCGCCCTAACCCTAGTAGTGGGCACAAATTGACCATTTTGAAACCCAACAGCCAAAACTTATTCTATATATATATATATATTCAAACGTTGGTGCTCACTTTTATATATTTGTTCTCCTCACTTGGTCTTGTTTTGTTCATGATTAGTTGCTGATACATCATGTGCTTGTCACAAAATCAGATCTGTCCATGCCGGTGTGGCAAACCCCATGCCACATACCTCTTTTGTTGCGGAATGTTGGGGGGATGTTTGTTAGATGCCCCAAGTGGTGAAATTGGGCATCAAATGGGGTATGGTTCATTTCGGAGTTTACCACATGAACATCGTACTAAAAGAACAATGAAAATGGTTGAAAGTTATGTCTCTTCATGTTTGCTGTTTGCTGGTTCTTTTACTGTCTGTTGGTGGTAGAATCCCCTAGACTGGTTCGTTAGTCCAATATTCCATGGAAAATGGGTTGCCACCATAAAACAAAAATTCCCTATATAGGATTGACCTTTCACAAATACTGTTTATTTATAGATGTTTAATGCACGAAATGTCTTTTGTCATGATTTTCAGTATGATTTGGTGGATGACTAGGACTGACCTTTCACTGTTCTCATCCTTCTCCAAGGCGGTGACGATCGGGGAAGTTTTCATGCGCATGTGCACCACCTGGGCCGTTGAGGGCTAGTGCTGGCGGATGACATGTGCCCCTTTGGCAGAACATGGGTAGAACAGGTGGATTAGTCCGTGATTAATCAGTTACTTTTAATGGCTTCATGATCATCCCTCAATATGGGCATATAATATTCTATAATCATTATATGATCCAACCTTTGGCCATGACACATGTTGATTTTGATGTGCCATTAATACCAAACTCTTTTTACTAAACGTACCCCTAAAAACTAGGGTCCGCGTTAAAATTTGGGAAATTTCCGACTGGCCAATTTGATTTTTGATTGATCCCCTTTCAAAAACAAATTAAAAGGAAATCTAATCAATTTTGAAATAGTGTTTTTTTTAATATTAGGGCCTTTAATTTAGTATTAGGGGGAATCTTCGCACCCTAATACAAGAAAACTCCAGGTGTTTATTATTTGAATGGCCGAGCAAAGCTTTAAAATCGTTTTGGGAGGTATCAAACCGGCTGGAAATTTATTCATTGACAAGCCACTATACACGGGCACCGTATTTCGCAACACAGGGAGGAGTTTCGGGAATTATATTAACATAATAATATAATGCAATGTGCAAGTGCTTTGCACGTTTCTTTATGAACTTCATCAAACCTTGCAGCACTCGGTGGCTTCAGTGAACCAGCCATGCTGAGGCATCGGGCTACTAGCCGTGGTCCATGTGGGAGATACAGAATCGCATCTGCAACCATGGAAAATAAGTGTTTTTAATCGGTGTATACATCATATTAAATCTTTTCGACATAGGCTATTTTTGCATAGCTAGGTTAGTTTACCAAAGGGTATATGTATAATTATCCTTTCCCCCGTTCGCATTAAACACCCTGGAGAAACCATGATTTGGTAGGGGATTTACACACAGTTGGGACCATTTAGGGGCTGTGCAATATTGGGGAGGGATTTGTTCTTTATTCGGAGGAGTGATGCAACATTGAGCTTTAATTACCGAAGTATGACAAGCACTGTTAACCAGTTTGTAGCCATTCAAGCTGCACAACAGTGAGGTTCTGTCCATCCTCCATGGCTTGAGCATATCCTTTACATTGAAAGTAATGTGGTCAACCCCTGTAAACCCAATAACGAAGCATCCCCCAAATCACCTTTTTTTAATGGGAGTTCTATAAACATGTATAAGCCATCCCGCCAAGTTTGGTATATCGCATTGGCTGAATCCCACACAGCTAGCAGAACTTCAGAGCCGCATCCTGGCCTCCACTGCCTCCACTCCCCACAGAGCCGAGGTGCGCGACTCCTTCCTGGCCTCAGCAGCATACATTTCCTGGGCCGCTTGGTTAATGAGATTCTCCAGCTCCAAGGTCTCGATAAGGTCTGTGTTCCTGCTCGAAAAAAAACACCGAAAACCGAGGTGCCGAGGTGGGCCTCCCAAGTCACAATAAAGCTGTTGGTTTATGAACGCCATTAACATCCATTGACCATAGCTATATCATGCTATATCATGCTATATCTACCTAGAAAAGCCATGTATAGTTACGTTAGAGAACAAGACCGGGGCACTACCTCGTATCTAGACGTTTAGAGATGGTATAGATGTCAGTCACTGGGCGTCACTTCTGGCGAAGGCAGGACAGGGAGGAAACAGCCCATACGACAACATCCCCTTTGCAGGATGAGAAATTCTGGCAAACATATCTAATCACCACATTATGATCATGATGAATATCCAGTGATATCCAGTGGCATCATCCATATCCCGCTTGATGGTTTCAATATAGCTGAAAGCATCCCAGAAGTGCTTGTTGTTTTAGCCATGGCTTACAAATGGCACATTGTTATCACTGTTAGTGTATGTAAAAATATGTAAAATCATTGCAAAATCGAAGGGCATAAATTTGAGCCATACTCTCTCGCGCCCATTCGTGGCAGATTCGCTACCCGGTGGTAATCAAGCATGGCAATGGAAAATCATCCATTAATGATCTCCAATCATAGGAGATTTCCCAGCTAGCCATGTTTGCCTACCCAAGGGTAATACTAAACTATATATCTGCGCAGACCCAGGCCCAGTGTATCCACATGTGTCATATGTGTCCAAGTCTCCATACCATCGTACGGTCCGAAACTCCCACATCCTGCCGACGCTTGCGGTTGGATGACCCAAGAAAGAATGGGGACCACATGGGACCACCGGAACCTGCAGGCTAAACCCACATAAAGTGATCAACATATGTTCTTTGCTCAAACATGCTTAAACCATATGATAGCCAAGGGTCCAAAAGCGATGGAGAATAGCCTCGCTCCATCCATATTTAACATTCTATATGTTCTATGTGATATGCTCATTTAAAAGATTTCAAATGCCAGCTCCTCAGATTTGCCGGATCATTCTGCTTGGCAACCACTAAGGCCACTAAGGTCCTTGTCTTTGCTGCTTCAATTGTCATGGTGCTGAAGTTCGATCGGGACAGGGATGCCTCCTGGAACGCTTGGAAAACATCCCGGGGCCTTGTACTTCTTCATGACTTCCACCACGGCATCCTTTCCCTTGGCCAAGTCGTCCGCATTTCCTTGTTTTTTTTGGGATGCTGGTGAAAAGGGTTCTGGTGATGTTTGTTTCTCCTGGAACAGGAGAATGCGATGCGAATCCAACGTCTTTAGGTGCCACATTTAGAAGTGGTGGGAAAATTGAAGGATTGAAACATTGAGGGATACGGAGAGAACCAGAAAATTGGACTGAATCAAATCTGATCGAATACAACAAAAAATGTGAGGCCCGATTGGCCTGGGACCCTGTTGTTGACTCAACTAAGCAACAATTCAAGAGATACAAGGGGTTCAAATGACAAGAAACCCACAAGATACACTTGTCCCTCTTGGCTCGTCCAAGGATTGATTCATTCATTGCTCGGCCAACGGCAGAATCAAACAATCACCCACCACACCCCACCCTTGAACCTGTTTATCCGTTTGAGCAAAGACTTTGCCATCAAGAAACGGTACACAGGCGCATACTTCTGCATTGTGACCTGGTGTTTGCGATCAGGGAAAGGATGAAACCGTCGTGCAAGGCCCACAAATCAGCCGGGTCAAACTTGATCATTCAGGCGAAGGGCACGAAAAAACTTCCGGACCATTCATGAGTTCAGCTTAGTTCGCAAATGTGTATAGAGTATTGTAGGGCTATTCTTTAATAATTAAAACATAGTGTGCGGAAGTGTATCTAGTTTTGAATGGAAAAGTACTTGGCTGCGTGGGTGTGCATATACAAATGGATATAGAATCATCTCTTTCTCTCTCTCTCTCTCGCAACTTGCAAATAAACCCACAAGAAATAGCTTTGGATTTCTGATGCTCCCAAAGTGATCGGAACAAACATATTCCATCAAGTATGGGAATTTCGGAATTTGATGCACTTACCAGCTTCCTACCCCTAATAAAAGTAACTAACAACTAGTTACTCTTTGATAAGTGAATTTAAAGCGCAATTTTGATCTTCAGGGTAACTATAGTATACAACAAATAGGGACCGTTTTCATGCCATATCATCCCACCACCTTTTCCTGCCGCACCGCCACACCTGCAGCTCACGACGCAGCACCGCGGTTGGGATGGGGCCCGTGGCATGACGCATCTTGTCCATGCGCGCGATCGAAGCTTCTCCGGCCTGGGGGGATGGGCTGGATGGGGATGAGGATGTATTTTTGCCCCCATATGCCAGGTGATCTCTACATTTTATCAGAGCTCCTTCCGCATGCTTCCGCCTGCCGGACCTCAACGGCGACTGCCGGATGTCAGACAGAACGCCACAAAGAATAACAGATTGAATGTCAAAATATACGTCAGATAGAATGCCAAGTAGAACGTCAAATGCAATGTCAAAAATATATATATATACACACATATATATATATGCCAGAAAGAATGCCAGATAACATATCAAAATATATGTCAGATAGAATGCCAGATGCACTGTCAGAATATATATGCCAGAAAGAATGCCAGATAAAATGTCAAAATATATTTCAGATAGAATGCAAGATGCAATGTCAGAATATATATGCCAGAAAGAATGCCAGACTAAATGTCAAAATATAGGTCAGATAGAATGCCAAATATAATGTCAGATATGCGTCAAATATAATATTGGCTGGTGGGGGTCAAAGTAATTGCCCCCATGAATCTCCCAATTATTGTAATGAATGGTTATAGTTCTATGTTGGCGAAATGGTTAGTCAGTTGGTTAGGGGGTTGCGTCCCTTTTTTCACAGATCATTATATTTTACATATACTGTAGATTTTTACATCATCTTGATATATCTTGATCAATGTTCGATCATCATTTTCCCAGCACATAAATCCACCATTTGGAGGCTTCCTAAAAATAGGGGTGCCCCCAAATCATCGATTTGAATAGGATGTTCTAGTAGAAACATCCATTTTAGGCTACCATCCATGTGATTTTTGGATTTTCCATTACTCTCCGGTAATTTGTTACAGTTTGCTCTTGAAGCCACGGCTAAAGATTCATGGCTGATTTACCCATGAAAAATGGTGATGTCCCATCATTTTTTGTATGTTTACCAGAGGGTAACCATCCAACGGGCTATCCCCTGGCCAGGCGCATTCTTCGGCAGTGCCACAGGAGGACTGTTGGGTTTCACCAGCTCCGCCGTGGTGTCTGCGGCCTGTGGTGATATTGTGGGGACAGAATAGGATATCATTGGGACATGGTTTAATTATGGTATGTAGTTGATATATCTATCATCTGAATGAATCACTGAATATAACTGAATAAATTTAGAATAATTCGTTAACCTGGAATAAGGCTATATTACGGCTATTTTTCAGCTCATGTGCTAAAGATCATTCCAGAGACGTCACAGTGAGGTCACTATAATTCAACCAGATATAATGGGATATAATGTGAGTAAAGCAACAGTAAACCATACCCAATTTTACCAAAAACGGGTGGTAGAAACTATTGACCATGAGGGTGGTTTACTATTGCTTTTCTAGCATTGAGAGAAATATGATCATTTAGGGTGGTGCTCCATAGTTACGGTTAGCTAAGTTGGTTGAACTAACATCACTATATACAGTCTATGGCAAACATATCGAACTAGGCCCTAGGCAGTTTGCTTCATCCTAGCTGGAGACATGTACGTATGACATATTAAAAAAAAAAACCGTGCAACAAAAGAAACGGTGATGGGGTTTATAAACCAACTTGCATGCATCAGGGGGGGGGGGCAACAACTTGTTTAAGGGAACGCTGAGGAGATCCATGGAGAAGCTTTGGTCTCTGGATTTCACCCACTACGGTGGAAGAAATCCCACAGCAGTTGATAGGTCGTTGATCCCATGATTTCTAGGGTTTCAACCATCCAAGCTGATGCAGGATTTCTTCTATCCACAGTATGACTTGCAAGATCTCGCGAGGAAAAGACATCATATCGATATATATATATATATATGTATATCTATATATTTATAATTATGTATATTGATATACTGTTTGCAATGGGTATGGACACCTCACTGAAAATCCTGATAAATTCATGATAAATCACAGTTCCATCATGTTCCATCCTGATCGGAGTTACTGTAGCTATGCCAGCTATGCTCCAAGAAATCTGCCTGACGACCAAAAACCACCAGGTCCAGCAAAGAGTTGGCACCCAAGCGATTGGCGCCGTGCACTGAGGCGCAACCAGCCTAGGCTTCCGCCGCTGACGTCACCCCGGTCCCTTCTGTCGATCCCTTTAAGCGAAAAGTCCCTGAGTTGTAAAATGTTGATGATTTTTGGAAGTTTTAATGGGCGCATTAAGTTTTCCTTTTCAAAACGCATTCGGTGGCGTGGTTTTAAGTCTCTTGAGGTCATTAGAATCATTAGACGAATTAAAAATGATGACGTTCAACTGCGACTCAGTTCTACTAAGTATAAATGCTAAACTGAAAAAACACTGGCAACTGTTGGGATGGTGGATCAATCAATGCTGACATGGAGCCTTCTGCGACGAATTCAAATTTGTTTATTGGATTCGATTTCCTGTTGAAAATGAGAAACTCCCGACATTCCTTATGAATCTTATGAAACAAGCAAAACAGTGATTCCAGACTGATATATTTCCTATCCTATCAAAGATTCCATTTCCCAAAAACTATCACCCGACTGACAAATGAGAAGCTCCCTTATTGCGCCCTGCCTCGCCCGCCGCCAGCAAGCCGGGGACGATGGTATCCTCCGCATCGCGAACCACCTTCCGGACGGGAAAATTGTGAAACTATGCTGCTGACGATGCTGATTTCAGCCTGCCTTTCCACACCTTTCCGCGATCTTTAGATTAGATCAGACTGCAGAAAGGTTAGAACTGTACAGAAATGCCCGTTGAGTTTAAGCCATTCAGTTTGGTACAAAGGACCATCCCTTTCCTGCAACCCAGGAGGCTCACAGCCCCCCCGCCTGTGTCTTCCAGTTGGTGGGGATTCCTCCCATGTTGTAGTGCACCGTTGGCAACACAGGCGCTGGCTCCTGCTCTGGTCTCTGTGCAATGGGGGTGTCACAATAATGAAGCGAGGTATACCTGGAAGATACGAACAAATGTTTGCTTTTTATGAAGGTTTAAACTTCCACACTCAGATTCTAATCAAACTGAACTCAACCCAAGAATGGCAAGGATGGACATGGGATTCGCCCTTTCATGGCTGAAGATGAAACCATTGACCGACATTTAAAGTTTGTTGGAAAAACATGGAAAATCATCACGTACCTTCGGTTGCCCTAGATGCATCCCTATTATTGATTCACCATTAGTTCACCACTCAAAATAGTTTGGATTAAATGATGTGATAACAAGTTTGATTTTGAGTTAATATTAATATCATTTGTCAAACTTGCTATCCAAGTAATGATGACATGTGATAAGGCACTATCAAACTTGGTTGCCTCTTCGTTGATCCTTTCTGAGTAAAATGATGTAATGATGATGCGTTTTGTTTTCCAAAAGCCAGAGAGCAGTGCAAAGCTAATGCATTGTATAGGTATAGATGCTGGCAACAGCTCCAGAAACCTGTCAAAATCCTGGGTTACCCTCTGGTAATTTAACGTAGCCATGGAAAGTGGACGAACTTAGTTATACAGAGCAATCCCCAAAAACGTAGAAAGGTAATCCCTAAAATAGTGATAATTCACTTTTCTGATCTGTTCGAACTCATTTCTTGGAGTTACTAACTGCTATACGTATAGTTACAGTATCTTAAATTACAACAAGGATCCACATGCCACCCGTATTCACGCGCCAGCATCCTTGGTTACATCCACGCCAGCGAAGATCTTCGCCGTCTCGGAGATGCCGGGCAAACCTTTTTGACGAGGCACAAAGGGGATCCGACAAGTTCAATGGGCTGGGGGGTGGCACTATACAAATCTATATACAGTATATATATATATATATACAGTATATAATAAAATGATGTGGTATTTACAAGATTATATATCTATTAGTTGTATGTTATCATGTATTAGCAAAGGGTTTCTGATACGACTGAGACAATGAATCAAGTGCGCATGTTCGAAACATGAAAAGAACAACCTCTAAACGGAATACACAAAAGTGACTTAAATACACTGTAACACGAAACGAGCAACATATCCGAGCCTCTGAAATGCATATGTTCATTCAAAGGCATTCCAGGCAATGTGCGTTTCCAAGAACGGAAGATTGAGCTCGTGGAAACAAACACAAATCTGATCGCATAAGGTATATGTGGTCACATATGTATATATATATAGTTATATATATTAATATATGACTGACAAAAAATAAACGAGAACAAAGAACTTGGGAGGAAAACATGTATTGCACAACTTCCAGGGTTATCCGCGCTAAATAGAAGGTACCACTCTTCACTGACACTGGCAGCTATTCTGGCTAGCAGGCCAGGCTGGAACCCCATAGGCCCCATACATCAAAAGTCCAACATCTTCCAACACTTTCTTGGAAAAATGAAGGCACATCTCCTGGAAATCGGTCACTAACTCATACTATCCCCCCAGTGATTCATCACGACTGTCACGCCCTCAGGATAACAAGCAACGTTCCGCCAAGGTTTCTGGGGGCAAGTGATCCAAGTGCAGATAGATGTGGTCCTGGAGCGATCTGCGACGCCCGGAGAACCCGAGAAAGAAAACATGTAGCCTGCAGAAAACATAAATAGAATCTAAAGATATGAGTAAAATGACAACCCACCAATTTTGTAGATCATGTCCAAACCCATGGGATTTCCATAGCTACGATTAGCAACGTTAGTTTACTGGCGGGTACTTGCATAACCATGTGTTACATATCACAAACCTTGGGAGATCCTTTTTTAAAAAAACATGAGAAAACAATCTCCAACAACAGGCAACCATATTGATATGGGTATCATATCTAACCTTTGACTCAATCTTAGATACCCTGAAGAAAAGAAAAATCGAAAAACATCTTTCTTCGAGTGATGCCCACCAACTAATATTCTATTTGACACATTCTCTGACATCATATTGGGCATTCTATCTGACATATTCTGGCATATACATTAATCCCTTCCTCCTAATACTAAACGTCCCCCTAATACTAAAAACAGGCATCCATCTCCAATTTCCGAAAATTTCAGTTTGGCCAATTTGACTTTTAATTGATCCCCTTTAAAAAACAATTTAAAAATCAACCTACCATTTGTGGGTTCTCCCCCCTAATACTAAAAACTAGTTCACCCCGGGGTGTTTAGTATTAGGGGGGCCTAGTCCCAATCCCTCACTCCAAGCTGCCTGGCTACTCTAGCAATTAGGGGTAAGCTTCGAACTGCCATTTTTGGCAATATTTTAATTGCGTTATATAAGGAAATTTAATTGATTTTGAGATCGGAAAAAATAGTTTTTAGTATTAAGGGTTTTAATTTAGTATTAGGGGTAAGCTTCGAACTGCCATTTTTGGCAATATTTTAATTGCGTTATATAAGGAAATTTAATTGATTTTGAGATCGGAAAAAATAGTTTTTAGTATTAAGGGTTTTAATTTAGTATTAGGGGTAAGCTTCGAACTGCCATTTTTGGCAATATTTTAATTGCGTTATATAAGGAAATTTAATTGATTTTGAGATCGGAAAAAATAGTTTTTAGTATTAAGGGTTTTAATTTAGTATTAGGGGTAAGCTTCGAACTGCCATTTTTGGCAATATTTTAATTGCGTTATATAAGGAAATTTAATTAATTTTGAGATCGGAAAAAATAGTTTTTAGTATTAAGGGTTTTTATTTAGTATTAGGGGTAAGCTTCGAACTGCCATTTTTGGCAATATTTTAATTGCGTTATATAAGGAAATTTAATTAATTAATTAACATGACTTCGATTTGGTTCCCTAATAATAAATACCCCCCTAATACTAAAAACTACCTGCCGTGTTTTGTATTAGGGGGGGGGTTTAGTATTAGGAGGAAGGGATTATACATTCTGTCTGATATTGCGACTGGCATTCTATCTGGCATTATGTTTGGCATTTTATCTGATATAATTACAAATAAATGGATATATGTATATATATAATTATATATACACATATTCTGACATCCTATCTGGAGTGTATATTCAACGTTGCGTTTTTTTTGTGGCATTCTATCTGACATCTGGCGCTCACCGTTAAGGTCCGCCAGTGCCCACTCTGATAAAATCAGGAGACCCTCAACTGGCAGGTGGGGAACAAATCAAAAATAATTTCCCATTGAAATCTCATGAAATCTCCATTTGTTCGGGGAATTGCCACGTTTCACAGCCCAGTCCTTGTTGGGACCAACGCCACGTCCCTCACGGATCTCCAGCGTCATCGCGCGGCTCACCACGTCGCGCGAAGCCAAGTCTTTCGCCGTGGGCGCATAGCGCGCCATGAAGGGATCACCCTCACTGTTGCCTTGGCCACAGCTGAAGGGATAGCCTAACATGGTGATTATGTATGATCATGATCATATATATATATTGTGAAAATGGCCATGTATGGAATGTTATAGTTCCTTGATGTACCTATTGAGATGGTGATTTTCCATATATTACCCAAGGGTAATTTAGGGATTGAGGGGAAGTCGGATAGTTAAAGGTATCGTCTTACACTCAATTTTATCCTTAAGTAACTTAATAAGTATAGACATATCTACATATCTACATATCATCATCGAAGTTTAGTGGTGTCCCCTAAAATGGTAATCCCCCCCAACAGTAGGATCTTATTGAGTTATTAAGTGCCTCATCCGATATAATCAGGGTTCATGGGGCTAGTATTGAGAGTTAGAAGTTTGGCAACAAAAAATTTTAAGGTTTTATTATGTTAATGATTATTTATTATTTGTTTTATGATGTTCACATATGATTTTAAAAACAAAACATGGATATGTTCGTTTTATTTTTGTGTATTTGTTTAATTGTTTGTTTATGATGTTTTTTGGGGATGTGTGTGTTAATGGTATTTTAGGATTTTCAAGATTGTTTATGATTTTTGTTTATGTGTTTTAATGTTGTTTGCATTTTTAATATGATGTTTGATTTGTTTTTTAAGATAAACACGACATATTTTCCTTAAACAAAATGATAAAACAAATAAAAAATCATAGAAACAACATTTAAACACAATCATAAAAACAATCATGAAATATTCAAAAAACATAAGTTGTTGTTTAAACAAGTTTTCAAAACATACAGTTTCATTATAAAATTATAAAAACAATAAAACATCATATTGCTTGATATATTGTTTTTTCGAACTATTTTTTTGGCTGCTTTCGAACTCTCAATACTAGTACCTTAGTAACCCCCTAATGAACCCTAATAAAGCTATTTGGTAGGGAGGGGTTGCCATGTTGAAAGATGTTGCATTTCTTTTGTGAACTAGCAATGGCAGCAAACAACAGCGACAGCGACAGCGACAACAGCAGCAACAGCAGCAACAGCAACAGTGGCAGCAGCAGCAGCAGCAGCAGCAGCATCAACAACGAGAACCACAACCACAACAACAATATCATCATCAACAACACCAACAACAACATCAACAACATCAACAGCATCAACAGCATCAACAAAAAACAAAAACAAAAACAAACAACACAACACAACACAACACAACACAAGACAAGACAAGACAACACAACACCAAACATAATCGGCAGCTGACAGTTGCTTACAAGCGGCTCCAGCGCGTTTGGTTTTATTGTTCATACCTGTGCGTGTGCCTGGAGATATGGCAGTCCTGTTTTCTTGAAAAACAATTGGTGTCCTATGGTGCCCTGCTGCCATCATGGTCTCAACGCACGGCAGAACTATGAGTCAGGACGGGTCATCCCAAACGTTCGAATCCCCTGTTCTTGCGTAGCACAAGCCCCATGCTAAAGGGCAAAAAAAACACCAGCCAGCGTGTTTGTCTGAACATGTGGTACCCCTCCAAATTTCACGGCTTATCGGCACCACATTAAAATGGCGATAAAGTTGGGAGGTATCCATCGTTTAAAACAGCACCAAAACCATTAAATATTCTTGATTAGACTTTGAAATCTCCTTTGACCCCATTATATCCCTATTATAAATTACATTTTAGGTTATTAGTTATTCTGAAACCACCTAACCCAGTTTCTTCGCCTCAAGTCGACCCAAGAACAACTGCGTCTCCAACACAAGTGACGCAAAATGCCACCCTCACCACGGCAGCCTTCTGTCAGCAAACATCCCGCTGGGAAGATTCCTTGGAGAATCGCTTCAAGTCATGGACAAAAATAATAAAAAATGGATATGGGATATTATATGGGTCAAAATTTCAGACCCAGAGGACCACAGATTTGAGTTGATTTTAGTCTATTAACTTGGATTAATGTTGGTTACTGATTAGTGTGGGGATACGGTATTGTGTCCACAGACCTCAAAATTATTCTGTTACTCTGGAAATGGTCGAGGGGTACACTATTGTGTCCACAGGATTTTGGTGTAAGTTTTTTTTCATTTTTTTCATTTTTTTAGTTTTTAATTGTTTTTTATTTTATTTTAAAATTTTAAAATATTTTTTATATTTTTTTTATTTTTAATTATAATAATTTTTAATTTAATTATTTTTTATTTTATTTTAAATTATTCTTTATTTTTATTTTTTTTATTTTTAATTAATTAATTATAATAATTTTTAATTTAATTATTTTTTATTTTATTTTAAATTATTTAATTATTTTTTATTTTTAATAATAATAATTTTTAATTTAATTATTTTTATTTTTAATTATATGTTTTTTAATTATATGTTTTTATTATTTTGTAAAATTGTGTCAGGATACACAATTGTGTCAGGATACACAATTGTGTCTTGGTCTTTTTTCATTTTTTTCATTTTTTAAAGCTTTTTCCTTTTACTTTTTATTTTCCAGCATTGAAATTTTCCAGATGCTTCCACAGAAAATTACTTCCAGGTACAAAATAGTGTGGTTTGTTTGGAGGGTACACTATTGTGTCCAGCTGCTTCCTGGGGTTATGTTTTTTGATTTTTTCAATCATTTCCTTTACCTTTTCTTTTGCTAGCTAAAGTGTTTTCCTTTCAATTAATTTCTTTCTTAGTGTCTTTCATTTGAAATTCTCAGAAATGACCAGTTTCCCAAAATATATGATGCCTTATTAAAACCCAATTAAAAAACATCACTCAAACAATTTTTCAAGGGAGTAGTCCATGAGCAACCCTGATACAGAATAGTGTGGTTTGTTTGGAGGGTACACTATTGTGTCCAGCTGCTTTCCTGGGGTTATGTTTTTTTTTATTTTTTCAATCATTTCCTTTACCTTTTCCTTTGCTAGCTAAAGTGTTTTCCTTTCAATTAATTTCTTTCTTAGTGTCTTTCATTTGAAATTCTCAGAATGACCAGTTTCCCAAAATATATGATGCCTTATTAAAACCCAATTAAAAAACATCACTCAAACAATTTTTCAAGGGGGTAGTCCATGAGCAACCCTGATACACAATAGTGTGGTTTGTTTGGGGGTACACTATTGTGTCCAGCTGCTTCCTGAGGTTATGTTTTTTTGATTTTTTCAATCATTTCCTTTACCTTTTCTTTTGCTAGCTAAAGTGTTTTCCTTTCAATTAATTCCTTTCTTAGTTTCTTTCATTTGAAATTCTCAGAAATGATCAGTTTCCCAAAATATATGATGCCTTATTAAAACCCAATTAAAAAACATCACCCAAACAATTTTTCAAGGGGGTAGTCCATGAGCAACCCTGATACACAATAGTGTGGTTTGTTTGGGGGTACACTATTGTGTCCAGCTGCTTCCTGAGGTCATGATTTTTTGTTTTTTTTTCAATCATTTCCTTTACCTTTTCTTTTGCTAGCTAAAGTGTTTTCCTTTCAATTAATTCCTTTCTTAGTTTCTTTCATTTGAAATTCCCAGAATGACCAGTTTCCCAAAATATATGATGCCTTATTAAAACCCACTTAAAAAACATCACTCCAACAATTTTTCAAGGGGGTAGTCCATGAGCAACCCTGATACAGAATAGTGTGGTTTGGTTGGAGGGTACACTATTGTGTCCAGCTGCTTTCCTGAGGTCATGATTTTTTGATTTTTTCAATCATTTCCTTTACCTTTTCCTTTGCTAAAGTTTTTTTCTTTTAATTACTTAATTACTTTCTTAGTTTCTTTCATTTGAAATTCTCAGAAACGCCCAGTTTCCCAAAATATATGATGCCTTATTAAAACCCAATTAAAAAACATCACTCAAACAATTTTTCAAGGGGGTAGTCCATGAGCAACCCTGATACACAATAGTGTGGTTTGTTTGGAGGGTACACTATTGTGTCCAGCTGCTTTCCTGAGGTCATTATTTTTTGATTTTTTTCAATCATTTCCTTTACCTTTTCCTTTGCTAGCTAAAGTGTCTTCCTTTCAATTAATTTCTTTCTTAGTTTCTTTCATTTGAAATTCTCAGAAATGACCAGTTTCCCAAAATATATGATGCCTTATTAAAACCCAATTAAAACACATCACCCAAACAATTTTTCAAGGAGGTAGTCCATGAGCAACCCTGATGCACAATAGTGTGGTTTGTTTGAGGGTACACTATTGTGTCCAGCTGCTTCCTGAAGAGATTTTCTAGCACTGACTCAATTATATCAGAATGAAAGTGAAAGCCACTGAGTTTTTATCAGTGCAAAGCTGCAAATCACTCACTCTCAGTAGAGCTTCAGGCAGGAGCAGCTGATGTTGCTGAGGTAGATGCAGCTGAGCTCGAGGAAATAGGTTCTAAAGATGAGCTTGCTGAGATAGCTAGGGTGGCTGACTTGAGCAGTTGCTGAAGATCCTCAGGCCCTGTGCTGAGAAAGGGCAACTTCTTGGCCTTGGCAGCCTCTGAGTGCAGGTGGTACCTGAGGCATTTGTAGGCATCACAGCTCAGGCAGCCTGATTGCCATCTGCACTTAGAACATTTTCCCAAGGCATGCTCCAGGAGCCTGACCTTGTGAATTGATTCCTCAGAGAGGTTTTTCCAGGTGAACCTCACTGAGTTCTTGTCCAGCTGCTGCTGAGCAGTAATGTAGGCAACTGAGGTGATGTCCTTGAGCTTAGAAAGCTTTGCCTTAGCTTTTTCTTGTTGCTCAGCAATCTTAGCCCTCTCAAGTAGAAATTTATCCCATCTGATCTTGGCAGCATCAGTGATAAGTTTTTGCTCAGCAATGACCTTGTTGCAAGCAATCTCCAACCTATGCTTCCAGTTCTTCCACCCTGTCTCAGGCCAAACTGAGAGCCACTCTCCTCTGAAAAGCCTGATTTCTTCCTCCATGTAGTGAAGCACATAGCAGCCACAGGCATTGCTGCCCACAGGCTGCTTGGTAGAGTTGCTGAGTGGTGGAAGGATGAACTGAGGGTCAAGCAAGTTCCCCATGAGGATCTGCTGAGGATGAGATTCTTCATGCTCTTTGCTGAGGGAGTCATACCTCCTCCAAGTGGTGGGTTGCTGAGTGCCTTCCCTCTGAGCTACCAGCAAAGTCCAGTGAAACTGAGAATACACTGGAACCAGAAGAAGCCTGGTGCTCTCAGTCCAGCTGAGCTGCAAGCCTTGCTTCAAGCCATCCAGGTGCTCTGAGTCCTCAGTCTCAAGAATCATCTTGCTCAGGATGGGGTCAATACAATGCACCCCAATTTCCTCTGGCTGAGGGACATTAGCCTTCTTGAAGCACCAGCTGAGAAGACACCAGCCAAACCAAAGGTGCTGATCCTCCATCTCAGGTATGTTGGCAGGGCATGGCAACACTGAGTGAGTGGACCATTCCTCAGGGCCCATGCCAAGCTGATCATCAGGGTTGCAGCTCAGTTGGGACAGCCATAACTTGAGGTCATTCTTGCTGAGCTGGCTCCACTTAGGCCACTGAACTCTTGCAACAAAAGGCTTAGAGCTTTTGAGTTGCAGCCACTCAGGCTTAATCTGAAAGACTCCTGAGGTAGTGACCATGGTGTAGAAGCCTTTATCACCTTTGAAAGTGATCTTGCCTTCCTTGCCAAAGTGAAGCTTGCCTGCAGCATCTGAGGTGACAACAGCTTCCTGCATCAGAAGGGGGTCATCAGAATTTGGTGCTTCCTGAGGAGCCTCAGCAGGAGGAGGCAAAGGTGGTGGTGCCTTAGTTGCTTCCTCCTCACAAGTCTTCTTGAGCTCAGCATCTGAGATGGCTTGCTTCTGCTCCTCAGTTTTCTTAGCAGCTTTCTTCAAGGCTTTGAACTTAGCTGAGGGCTTGTTTTTGGCTGAGGGCTTGTTCTTCAAAGACTGTTTGAAGGCAAGGCTGAGCTTTTTCTTGCCTTGCTTCTGCTTCACCTCAGGCACCATCTCTGAGAAAGCTTCTTGTCTGCTTTGGGAACCAATTTTCTCAGATGCCTGTACCACAATCTTCTGCCTGTGTTTTCTGAGCCACTTATTTGCATGTCTCGCCCTGAGCCTCTTAGCTACATCTCTTTCCTTCTTTGCTTGGTACTCAGCTGTGCCCATTCTTCTGAATTGAGCTCTTCTGAGGGCAGGATGGATTCTCAGGGACAAGGAGTTCTGAAGCTCTAGCTCCAAGTCATCAGCAATGGCATCCTCTATCTCAGGCTTCTTCTCCTCTTCATCTAACTCTTTGTCATCCTCAGGATGCCAATAATCCCATACTTGAAGATCTGAGATGTTCTTGGCTGTTTTGCTGAGATTCCAATCTGCCTGTATGGGCACCCCCTCATCATCTCTCCACTTGAGCCTGTCTCTGAGCCACTCAGGGTTGTACCTCTTGGTGCCAACCTCTAAGCCCATCTCCTTAGCCCAGCTCTGAGACAGCAGTTCTACAAGCCTCCCTGAGGCTGGATCAGGCCTGTAGATCAGGATCCCATTCCTGACTGCAGCTCTGAGAACCCAATTGTCATTGAGATTCTTCTCAGACATAAACTCCTGAGCATGGACAACTGCAGTGACAATCTCTAAGGGGCCAACTTTCCAAACTGAGTGCTCCTCCTTTCTCTGCTTCTGCCACTCACCTCTGAGCTCAATGAGCTTCATTCTCACAATGGCTTTGAGCTGCTTAGAAAAATCCGTGTCTGTGATTTGAAGCTTAGAGGTGCACTTCTCAGCCACCAGGCAACTGACCTGGTTTGCCAATGCCATGGCCTCAGTGGCTGTGTCACTGAACACTGAGCTGAAGCAGTCTCTCTGCCAGAGTGATGCTGGGTACTGCTGAGCTTGAGCTTCAA